TATGAAGCACCATCCACGCACGTGGTTCTGATACATTTGCCCACAGCGCTATCCGGAACCGCACTTAGCTTCAAGTTCACTTAGGGTGGCTGGTAAACTCCCAGTGGCCTCCAAAATGCAGATATCCGTCCAGACCACTGCCATCTAAGAGATTTACCTCCCACAAGCTGTCAACAGTGGTCCACCGAAGGTCACAGACCTCAGCGGTCCAAAACAGAACAGAAGACTGTCTTCGCCATGGAAAACCACATCCACCCCAACCTTTGGAGCCACATCAGCGACAGTCACTAGTGGATAACATAATAATGAGTTGGGGTAGAAAATAAAGCTCAAATTATCCGTGAAAATGCACTCACGGTACGGGATAAGGTGGGCATCGTTGACAGATCCAGCTGTATCACACCATTTAATGTTCCTGTCAGCAATGATTCCTTCTGGAGAATACGGGCGCGTTTGATAGGGAGCAGCTTAACTCTTTTTGTGTCGTGCCATGTCTAGGCGCCCTCGGGGAAGAACTGTGTCGACTGTAAGAAGGCACACACGCTCAGAGGAAGCCTTCCTCGACGGGGGACTCCAGGCTCGGCCAGGAACGTCAAAAGGTTCCTCTCACTGTTAGATACCCTGGTCACCAGCAGATTGTCCAGCGCCAGAGCAAGATCTGACCGATCATGAGTTTCAAAGACAACTCGAGAAGCTGCCGATCCACAGGGGCATACAACCACGGTCAAACGTGGAATACCTGAACTGACAACCGGTACCCGAGTGATAAGTAAACCTGTGGGCGTTGTTATCAGCTCGGATAGACCTAACTAAGGTTGCGGCAGTAGCAGTCGGTGGGCCGCCACGTCCTTCGCGCCTGACAACCATGGCCCCACCTAGACTAATTACCGTCATTTTTAAATCCCCAGGAGTTCTTACCGGAGTGCTACAGACGTGGTCTAAAGTCAAGAACACCACAAGTGAAAATGTTCGTTGCAGGGAAAGCAGGCCAAGTACACTGCGACAACAGTAAACAACAGTTACTCCCCGTGCTCAGGTTGCTATGACCCTATACCGACACCAGGAGTCAGACCGGCAACTCCCACCTGGCACCGACTGTATCAGTTGACCTAGGAAAGACCCGACTGGGCCGGTTCTCTCAGAACTGGCTGGTCAACAAAAAAGTCATGTACAAACCCGTGATACTAGTCAACCCAGAGACACCCCGCGTAACGAGAAGCACTTCCAGGGGTCGTCAGAGCAATGTGAGAGGGCTCCCAAGTAAAATGTCAGAGCTCTGATCCCTCTTTTCCGACCTTGTTGCGAAAATTATAGTGCCGACGGAAGCATGGCATTGCTAGACACCGGCACCGAAGCTAAGATAGGTGACACGGCAAGTTCAGGGGGGAAGGGGAACACGAGGACGGAGGGCGGGGTTATAATACGTGCGAACCGTTGGTTCAAAAGTAAACAAACCACTGACACTGTGTTGACAGAACTCCCAGACCATCTGGTGCCACTTTACGGCCAAACAAAAAAAGTACCCAGTTGAAGGAGTCTATGTGCCTCCTAATAACAACGAAGAACACAACCAAAAATTACTCTAAGTAATATCCACGTTGTAAACTATGGGATATGGCTAGATCCTAGTGGCTAGCAACTTCAGCGCTGTAACTCAGCCTGGAGCAAGGCAGCACGACTCCGAGCCGAAGGCGTGATCGCGACCTGCTGGGTGCCATCCGACTGCCTGGACTGTGCGTAAAAATTGGCAACAACGCCCGCTGAAGGTCAGATGGTAAATCACTTAGACTGGATGGCCTGTTGACCAGTGATCATCTTCTAGTTGAAGACGCCCAGGTCCAAACTCCTTCGGAAGCAGCGGTCAAACTGTGGAAGTGTTCGACCTGGTAATTGGCGAGCAGTTATCGTGGGGGGTCTCGTCCTTACCCAGGCAACACCATGGCGAACTGCGAGGGGCTGAATCAATGCATATCGACACCTCCATGGCCAGTAGACTGGTACACCTTGTCAGTTTACCAGCACTGGAAACAGTAAAGGGCATCATTAAGGCAGCGATTTCTGAAGACGTCCCCTTGGTAGTAACAACATCCAGAAGGCGAGCTCCATGGATAGAACGAGGCACTGAGTGCCCCCTGAAAGTCGAGAGGAAAGCATTGCACAAGTGGAGGCTCTCTGGAGGACAGGATGAACAGGATGTATAAGCAGCTCTACGAAACCGATACAGCATCAAGGTGCGGGGAGACAGGAAGTCGCTGTAGTTTGACCTCGTCAAGAAGCTTGAGGTAAACCCTAAAAACCCATGCCAATTCATGGGGAAGAGAAAATCTGCAAGCCAAGGAGCATGCGTCATCGAAAGTCCGATCGGAGGAAACCTCTCTGGACAGGAGATCATCGAAATTTTGGGTACCACCTTCCGCACGCAGCTCAACATTCCATCACGAAAGCAAGCGTATGCACTGCCCTAACAGCCCCCGACGTCATTCGAAGCGGCAGAACTACACGAAGTACAAATAGCTCGTGCTGTGGTCCTCGATAAAATTTAAAGGCTACGTGCGAGAAAATCCCTAGGGTGCAGTGAAATCTGCCCATCAGTATTTAAACAATGTGCTAGTACCATAACTGGCCCACCGTGCAATCTTTTCCAACATTTTAAACGAGACGGACCATCTTCTCTCCCATCTTCGAAGGAGGAGGAGACAGGTAGAACTTGAACTGTTATAGGCCTATGAAACTTTTACCAGAAATATCGAAAGTCATGGAAAAAGTGGCGTGCGACCGCATCGGGAAATATCTGGACAAGAAGCAAGTACTCAGTGATGCTCGACACGGCTTCAGAAAGGGTAGGTCCTGTGCCTCCAACCTCCCTGCGGTCCATGGCTACTGGACAGCATGCTGGAATCTCAGGGTTCCGGTCAGCGCGATTTTTCTGGATTTCACCAAGGCACTGACACTGTCTCGCACACCATTGTATTACACCAGGTAGCTGGGTTGGGTATCCGCGGCCAGGTGCTATCATGGCTGCAGAACCACTTAGATAGTGGGGAGTTCTGCGCAAGAACCAACAGGGTTCACTCAACTTGGAGAACAATCCTGTGTCTCTTGTTGTTCCCACTGTTCGTGGATAGCCTCCGACTCTTCTCTACGCTGATGACGCCAAGTCATGGAGGACAGTTACTTACGAAACGGAATCAAGTGCACTACAGAACAACCTCAAAATGCTAGAGGAGTGGGCAACAAACAACGAGTTGGCATTTAACCTAGATAAATAGCGATTCATTTTTTCCAGTACTCCTGATCCACAGAAGGTATTCCACTCTGTCTGTGGTTCACACCTTCCTCGCACCTCAGCAGAAAAAACCCGGGGTTAGTGGTGGTGGAGAAACTGGACACTAGCTCCAATTGCCCAGGTAACACCTCTAAAGCATACGATGTACTAAAATTTATGCGTAGACAACTAGGTGTCCCCACTGCAGAGCTCTCTTTGAAACTCTACAAGGCCTACATGTAACCGCACCTGGAGGTCCTTAGCATCTTCGCTCCACCACGACTGAAAAGGGGCACGGACCTACTGAAGATAGTCTAGAGGTGAGTCACAAAAGAGGTTGTTGGGATCCACCAAAAACCAGATGACGGTAAACTAAAAAACTTAGGCCTATACTCCGCTAGTTACCGAAGGTTACGAGGTGATTTGACAATGGCTTACAAAATACTGAATAAACCAAGCCACCCTAACAGAGCCACGCTACTTAATGGTCACTGTGGTGATCCCCATAGAAACCCTAAGAAAGTTGCCAATCAAGGGTCCAAAACTGACGTGCGTTCACATTTCTAATACCTCCGAGTCTGCGGGCACTGGCATGCATTACGAGCAGAAGTAGCCCCGCCCCATCTGTTGAAAGCTTCAAGAAAAGGCCAGGTAGTTGTGCAGAGACTCATGGTTTACGCACACCTAGCTGGAATAAGAAATGGACCGAAGAAATCAACTGCTGTCACACAGTTCCAAATGCATTGCCTCTACACTAGTTTTCTTCCCACTGTGGTCACTCAAGCCCTTTTCGTCCGTTTCACTCCCCGTGATTTAGCCTCACCTATCTAAGTTTTTCACTTCTTCGTACCCCTCTCGTCTTACTTGAGTTTGAGTAAATTGCTCAGTCAGTTCACTTTTCTTCGTCTTTTACTCACACAAGGTTGTTTTCCTGAGTTATCCTTTCACTGTCCCTAACCCTAGCGACCAGTATGAACAACTATCTGGCAACTCGACATCTGAAGAACCCAACTGCACAGTAGTCCTAGACATACTAACCAGCACAACCTTCTGTTCTGCATACCGGCAGATGAGTGGCTGGATCTACTGCATTAGGATCCGCCAAAGACGTGAAGCCGCTCCGTGAGACCAAGAAGCGAGTACGCATAGACTAAGCGTTTTACACACACACACTCGTTAAACAGATAATGGATAATGGAGAACTTTCGTTGGTTAAGTGTATGGACCTTAACACATGGGAACCATTCACTGCAGCCACACTGCGGTTTGCGGATGCTTGTAGATCACAGCTTTTCTCAAAACCTAAATCTTTAGTTTCAAGAATGAGTGAGGTGGCGCACCATCAAAGGAATATTGGAAACAATTACCACAGCCGATAGGCATCATTGCACTTTTAGGAATTGTCCTGGTACGAACTTGACAGACGCAAAGACCAATCACTAATTATTCGGACTTGTTATATACCCACGAATACGAGACCAAGGGAGAACACGATAGCGTAGTCGGATGGAATAGTATATTTGGATGGTTGTGCCAAAATACCGGTGCGTTCCAACGAACTAGCTAGAGAGTCGAATACGAGCAGTGCAACGTAACACGACAGCATGACAAATGGCGGGGATGCTTGACCGGGTGCCCTCAGCTTAGCGAGTCCAGTTAAACTATCAAGGTCAGCATCGATGTCGAAAGTAGTCAAACCCTAGGCTATTGATTTTGGGGAAGTGTGTGACGCTGCACACTATTACTGGAGTTGAAAAGACACATCCAGTCGTCATAATCGTTATTTTTTCCTTGTGTTTTCGCAAACAGTCTATAGAATTACACCATGATTACAATAAAACATGTTGACACGTCTGAGAAGTCTTTTTCATAGGAAAATGTGTGATTTGTTTAAGTACCTTTTAAAAAAGACCTAACCGGCATTTTAAATGTGGACGTTGGTAATTGGATGTTTTTGTTGTTTTGATCTGTTTCTGCCTTAATGCTTACTGACTATGATCGCTTTACTGCTGTAAAATAATTACAATATTTTACGATCAGTCTGTGCTCTCTGTCTAAATAGTACGGTGTTTTTTTCCAGCGAATAGATTGGTGAATATCGTTACTGGTGTCTACATCGTATACTTTTACGGACGATAAGAATTCTCCCCCACTTTTAGCATCTAGGGGATGAGCTTTACTTCCGATGAGGTTAATTTTCTTATATTCAGGTATCTTCAAGAATCAGGTTGGTTACACGTCAGTAAGATTCCTAATCGCTGTTTACTTCAGGTTATTGTCATTCAGCATACCTATTCGGTTTGGAAAGCCAAATTAGCCAGTCAAACGTTGATGGGGCTCTTGTGCCTCCTGGCTCCTTATTATACTTGATCCAGAAAGGTCTTCAGTACACAGAAGCCGAAATAAGCATTGGGGAGGTAAGTACTCATGAATAATGCTGACTGTTTCAGGATGGAAGTGAACGTGTCGTCGAATCACTCTCCTTGATTGATGCTGTTGTACCAGACGTTATTGAAAAGCGCAAAAGCTTGCTTAAACAGCAGACTACAGCAGCAGCTAGTGTTAGCACATCAGGCAACGTTTTGTGCAACAATGTACCCCTAACATCTGCTGTAAACTGTACCTCTCATATCGGAAATGTTTCTGTTGCATCTACTGTATCGGATCAGTTATCAGCTACAAATTCCCATTCATTTCCTATGGATATATCTACTGTTCCTATTACTACACACACACAAACTGACAGTCTGCATACTTCTGTGGGTCATATGCCCAATAAAAACGATGTTTCGAGCATTTCATCACACCCACATTCTCACCAACACAATGCTTATACCCCATCCACTCTTAGCACAATTAAACCGAATAATCCTCCCAATGCAGTTAATTCATCCATACTTAATGCCTCTAGTAATGTAAATCCGTCAACGCCATCCACTCCTGTCTGTTCAGTTGCCCTAATTTCAAGTATCAGTCCGGTTAATGCGTCAAATGCTACTCCACTAATCGGAATCAATAAAATAACGGCTTCTCAGCAGTCTTCTGTAACTCCTGGACAACTGACAACTCACCATATCCCTCAGTCCGTACTCCTGTCAACAATACAGACGAATGGAGAACATCATGGCGGAACACTAGGTAAATTGTTCTCATCTTTTTTCTGCTAAACAAATATTTGTGACTTCGGCTCTATAATTCAATGAGTGCCGATGCTTTACAGTTTACTGATTGTATGTTTTATGTACAACAGGTGTCTTTGTGTAATAAACTAGGTATATATACAGTCGGTTAATATCAATATGGGACCTGGTACTACCGTCAGATCAAGCAAGGAGGCTCCAATATGATGGAGAAGTACTTCGGAGAGAAAGTCAGGAAGAAGAGTTAAAACTAACAAAATTTGATACGATGATTGGAGTAGAGATAATGTACTGGTGAACCTGCACCACATTGATTCTGAGCACGTTTTGTACATCACTGTATCAATTTTGTAGCGAGGCTTCTCATCTTACTCTGAAGGGAATCGGTTGATTTTAAAGATTAACGTCTAGACGTCATAAACTCGGTTTTTTCCAGTGTCGCCTTCGGACAACTGAAGGTACCGGGCTTTATGTGATGTGAACTTTATCTCAGGTTATAATATCAGAATTTGTTGAGGTTTGCAATTCAAAAGGTGCTGTTTACAGTTATTTTTATTGCTTCTTAGTTTTGACCGTGAGCCGGCTAGTTCCTTATCCAGAATGTTATATCTAGTCCATTTCATCGTTCCTACCGATATGATGAAAGCACTAATGATTTTACATAATGGTCGCATATTAAAAAATCAAATTTGTTATATAGATCAAACGCCTATGACAACTTAAAATATTTTTTAACTCGATATCTTGAGACTAGTGATAATCATCTTTTGATAGCACAACGTTAAGCTATCTTGCGTTGTGACCAAAAGTAAATTAACTTCTTAAGATAGTTAAATCTTCATTTGCACTCCGTTCACTGCAGATTAAATTTGGCTACCCCATGATATAGCCAGATTTCTGACAGTAATGCATCCAGCTGCGATTATTATATACATGGTTTTTTAACGTTTACCTACACTAATAAACCACTGAAATTCAGAGGTGTCTACCGTAACTGATGATAACTTGCATACCTATCTCAAAAGATTAGTAAGCATTTGTGTCCTCTCAAGCCCATCTTATTTTCAGCTAATCGTTCTGTGTCCACATTTATTTTTATCTCAGTCATCTGAAATTGAGGTTGGACTGCAACCTATAAGTTCACCGTAGTTCGCAAAAATGTTGCGTGAGATGTATACGTACCTTCATAACTTTACTTTTACTACAATGCAATCAGAATCCTTTTAGTACCAAGTGCTTCAATTGTATCCAAAAGTGCTAAAATTTCGCTCATGCAAATAATGTTTTATTTATTCTTTACCACTTCCAAATTTCCTCTCTTTGTAAAATGGTGGGATGCTGATATATCTCGCTTAACCCTGAAGTTTCCCAGTGCCGGTAATATAAACTTTTCCCTTTTGGAATTAGAATGAGCAAATCTCAAACCAACGGTCTTCAAAATGTTCTGTGATATGTCTCAAGTAGGTGCCGTCTGAGTTCCGCTGTCTCACATCTTTCTTCGGGGTACCCTGTAGAAACGACTTCCATGGCGTGGACAGCCAGGAAGTGTCAACCACCAGCATGTCTCCAGTCGTATGCAAAATCCAACCAAACATGACATTTCCTCCCTACCATTGTCTCATTCCTCCCATTCGCCTTCTGATTCTATTATTAACCTTTTCACGTATTCCTCAACGTTTAACTCTAACTATGCAGACCGTCAAAACACCACTCCTGGTCTCCTAAGACACCGTCTGCTATCGATCTCATGTAGAAGCTTTAAACGTCCAAACTCTATACCAAATCTGACAGCAAGCATTGGCCGCAAAAACTCTGGGATCTCTGGCCGTGGATGTGTGCTGTGTCTCTGAGACACGTATACAAAACCCTAGTGTGGTTATTAAACTAGCCCCGCCTTGCCATTTTAGTGAATCTTCAAAATCCGCCTCACGAGTATCTGGAGATCCAGTGGCTAGCTCTCATGGACTCCCTGATGTACGCATAACACTCAGTCGTAGAGCAGAAAGTGCTCTCCTCGACTGGTTTCCATTCAACAGCCGTTTGTGTGTTTGACGGAACAGATCTGTGAGGACTGGAAAGGATCGCAAGACTAGGCGATGTCTATTCGTAGTCTTCGCCTATCCACTCATCGACTGCTTTGTGTCGTTTCAGGCTTGGCACAGCCTTCTCAATTTCAAGGAGGGTTAGAGGACCGACATCTACGTCCCATTCAGGTGCAGACTGGATGCTGTGCAAGTAAAGCCTGACTGAAGGCCAGTCGAACTGTGCTTCAGTGTATTCTGCCCCAAGTACTAGCTGTCTATCCCGGGAGGCTATTACGGTACCATCCTTTTCGGTGACGGTTTCACTCACCATTGTCTTCCTTTTACCGATATCTTTAAATAAGCCTCAGTAGTTTCCGGGTGTTACCCAACGCTGATGCCTTCTCTATCTCTCTCGGTTTCGTCACCGGCCACTGCTCACGATCAACGCGAAAACTTCGTCAATTTATGTCCAAGTTGCTTTCGCTCTTCACTGGGATCAGTCTTCTCGCATCAATCAATTCGGATGACGTTGCAGAAATCCACTGACGTTTTCTAACCTTCGGGGGTTGGTTATCAAGTGTTTTTACCACCGTTTCTACAGCAGACTTAGTATGATGCCAGGTTTCCTCAGAATGAGCATTCCTGTCACGTTCAGGTAAGTGCTTAGCTAACTCCTCTCTAGATTCGTACTTGGTATCCTCCTCTACCAATCGAGCACAGATGGACCTCATTGCCCCCAGTTTTCGTGCGAGCAGTAAGGCGCAGGCATACACGAACCTGTACTAGCGAGTGGTCAGAGTCCAAACAGGTACTCCAGGAAGAGCGGGAATCCACCTATCCGCTCCAACGATGGATTATAGCAATATGATCTATCTGTGTTCATCGTTGGTTTGAATTCGGTGGATGCCATGTGAGACAGTATACCTCCTTATGCTTACGTTTAGTGCTGGCCAAAAACAAGTGATCGTGGGAGAAAAATTGTAACACGATTAACGTTGTCGGTTCGTCCTCATGGGATGCTATAGATACATCTAAGATTCCTTTCAAATTAGCTCATCTCTCTACGCGAGCGTTATAGTCACCTACAATTATGACTACATCTAAACGTTTTGCTCTCTGTAGCGAAGTTGACAGTTCCTCACATAAATCATCCGAACTACAGTTAGTGGGCGCGTAGGCGGACTACGAATAGGCATCGCCTAGTCTCGCGATCCTTTCCAGTCCTCACAGATCTGTTCCGTCAAACACACAAACGGCTGTTGAATGGAAACCAGTCGAGGAGAGCACTTTCTGCTCTACGACTGAGTGTTATGCGTACATCAGGGAGTCCATGAGAGCTAGCCACTGGATCTCCAGATACTCGTGAGGCGGATTTTGAAGATTCACTAAAATGGCAAGGCGGGGCTAGTTTAATAACCACACTAGGGTTTTGTATACGGTTTTGGATTACCACTGATAACAGATCTAAGGCACCATAATGCGTCATCTTATTGTTTGAGATGTTAGGGGGTAATTGCTTTTCGTCTAACCACTATCCAACAGACCTTTCTGATATGGTGGGACCTCGAGGAAACAAGCTTTCCACCAGCATGGCTCTTTAGGTCATCGTGGTATACAAGCCTGACCACCACTTCAAGAAAGCAGCTATAGGTCGGGTAAGGCCCAATATGCTCCTGCTGCCTGAAGGTGTCATCTGGTTGATTTGTAGTATGCAGACAGTGTTATCCTCCTGGGTAAAAAGGTTGTCGAAATCCAGGTTCTTTTGAAGGCGTTCAGCAGAAACGTATGTTTGGCATACGTTTCCCATCTGTCAGATGTAATATGATGCTCCACGACTGTTCGGCAACTACTCCTAGTTTAGTGATTGGGAGTAAAGTAGTGGAATGCGTCGACCATTTCACTTGGGGAGTTACACCAGCCCAAACGGGTCGGCTGCTGACGAAATATCATCTCGGATACAAAAGGCCTATTTGGCACTTACCAACTTGGGTCATCTGCATACCCGCGAAATATGTATCAGAGGACCAACATACCGCACTGCATTCCGTTTTACCCTGTTATTCCTGTGACACGATCGTTCAAAGTAGATATGAAGAAACTACAGGTTTTTGTCCATTGGTGTCTTCGTATTATTGCCTGAATATGGTGGAATCTTCGTATGATGAATGTCGTGGTCAGGCGAAGGGCACTAGGGGAGAAGGGCAGGTCAGGTGATAGGGTTAACATTTACTGAATGGGGTGACATGAACATGTATTGCATATGCCGAATCATTGCCTACCTCAACGTGCTATGCAAAGGGAAGTTGGATTCGGTTTGAAGAAGGTTTAGGGTGTCCAGAATAAGACGTTGCACCGGTTCGTAAAGTCTAACTGATCTGAGCTGTGTAGAGAGGCGTAGACTGCCTGGCTGGGGTTCCTTATATGATCGAAATTAGTGTTTAGGAAATTTCTGGGACATTACTGACAGTCGGTCACGATGGCGTAGACATCACTTTTTGATGCCTTTCAAAGTTTGATCAATTTTACTTATCTTGATCTTCAAATTGTTTCTCCTCCCAAACACCTTTGTCTACTTCGATGTCAGTTTTTGGCTATCCACCTGTAATTTGCATGCTACTGTAAAGTAGGGCAACTCAAAACGATGGGCCTGTATGAGAGTTTCTACAATGATTTTGTTTACCTGTCTTTTCTCACCTGCTGTGCTAGTGTAAGTTGTACTAACCGCACATTGATTCCAGACCCGATATTGACACGGTAGGCGGAGCAGGATGTAAACCCGTTACCCATTTCTTGGAAGTCAAATGTCTATTCCCAGACTGTACCACAGCCTAATTTAACAGTGATTCTACTTGATACTTAAAATAACTGGCAATTATCAAATACTGCGCTTCAAGACCTCTAGAGACCAATAGTAAGGTTTTCTTCAGTTTTTCATTTTTACAATAGCTAACTTTGTTAAGAGTTAAAAGGCCGA